GGATGGTCCTCAGGGGTCGTACTCCCTCCCACAAGTCCAAATCCTCACCATCCGATACTAGTGGTCATTGTATTTGGCAAGTGCCCAGCTTCCTAGTGTGCCCAGCTTCCTAGTCAGATATAGTAGGCCACAGTCATGTTCTGCGGTGTCTGCCACCAGTTTTTTTTATTTTTTTATTTATGACATCTTACAATTTCCAGATACTCCTGGGGAGCACCAAGGTTGGCGCGGTTGGGAATGCTGGTATGGTGGAATATTATATCCCTGGGACCGCGACCATGACATTCGCTATGGCGGAATGTTTTGTGGAGTGGTTCGGATACATGGGAGACGACCTCACAGACGATCGGAACGGCTTGTTTGACGTTCTCGCTGTGCTGCAATCCCATATGATCCTCCGCCCGGACTATATTCACCACAGAATTGATGCCCATGGCTTCTCTTCGGACACTATCAGCCCTTCCGCCTATGGTGTGGGTCAGCGGACCAAGGCGGACCAGGTGCATCAGGCTCGGGAGGGCGTCCTCCACAAGTTTGGGGCGTGACTTCATAGGTATCATCCCGAGTTGGGAGACGTATGTTATAAGATTCCCGTAGTTCCAGCGGACGAGATGTTCATTCCGGCCTGTAGCAATACTCCTGACGATGATATTCCTGTCGGACAGGACGTGGAACGGTAACGGACCACGTATAGCGGTATATCCACACGAGGTGTTGTTCCTGAAATGATAGTGCAGCTGGTGGTCCTGGTTATTAGTTACGCGGATCCCGTTTTGGCACCTTCTGATTGAATTATGATATAAAATCCGGGTCGTTGTGCTGAGGGTCCCAGAAACATGCCTCAGATGTCGAGTCGACCCTCTTTCGATATTGGACATGCCGCACCCCTCTTGAATAGTCTCTCACTCTCCGATGAGGCCCTGGAGTCGACGGCATATTTTCCCGAGATGGGCTATTCGTACTTTTTCCAGTTCACACTTCGCCCTTTCGTCCACACATTGGTTCGCGCTGTAACTCACGATTTTACGGAACTGGACCATCTTCCCGCTTATTCCGCTACCGAAGGGCGTCAAATCCGGACGTGGTTGCTGATTTTGTTGTATCATTTTGTAAGTCCCTGGTTCTGTGGAAACAGAACTGATGAGGATCCTGATATATCTCTCCGCGACGTCAGAGGATGGTATCCCGGACCCTGGGGACTCGTCGGGCGGGCATAGAAGCTCATGATCTGTATTGGCTATCCACAGAAATTACCGTGCCCGGCGAAGCGTTTCAGATGCTCCAAATAACCGTGTTTATGTGCCATTATGTAGGGCTCCCCCCCGAAGTTCCTTCCGGTGACCACCCACGCCCATGCGTACTAGTTCCCTTGTTCGAAGCTTCCAGTGAGACACTGCTCTGCACCCGCTGCCGTGGCGAGTACGCGGATTATGATGAAAATGGACACCTGGTGTGCTCCACACTTCTCCGATGGGACGATGGATTCGGAATTGAGCTTGATTTGGCCACATCCGTGGCCCCACACGACTTCACGATGATTCTGTTGGCCATGGGCGTTACCGGTACGTATCCACACCATTAATCCGCTGAATCCACCCTTATATCTGGTTTTCCGCAGGTCCGTATGCCCCGATTTCGCTGAATTAATGGCACCATTCTTGCGCACATTTCTTTACTATTCTGTTTTCCTCTCCACTTTCCGATCAACACCTTGATCTCCCGTTGTATGTTCTTCTTTTTTGTGCTTCCCCCCTTTTCTGTCGCCCTATCGTAGTACCGAGGCGCCGGAATGAATTAATATCTGTGAGAACGAGAGATGTGTTGGGGTTTCCGACCAGTGGAGTCATGTAGTTCGTCCTAACTTTTTAGTTCCGCGAGCTGTAAGTGTCGGGTGATCAATTCCCAGCATTCGAAGGCTCGTGGACCTAGTCATCGAATGTTGCGTAGTGTCTGATGGACCTTTTCGTGTCTTGTTGCATTGGGGTGCACTCCCGTGAGCAACTCCGCAAGTATCTGGTAGCGATAAACAATGTCTCCGAGGGAGCAGTGGCCACTGCGTTTTTCCGTAGGCTGAAGCTAATTCCGATATTTCGTGGGGCCAATTTCTTGGCACTGATATCCGCTAGTCCGTGGGGTTAATTTCTTGACACTGTTATCCGTCCGCTCTATTACGTGGGGTAGTCTAATGGGCGGACGGTCTGATTTCTTGATTTACTATTCCTTCGTGTTTCCTAAACCCATCGGAGTCCTGGCAGTCTCGGATAATATCTCGATCGGCTTTTGATCCCTAGGTGGGGGAACGATTCCCTTGCCATGTCCTCCGCTGTCATGCCGATAGTGTTACTGGTCGGCGGAGTGGCTCTCGAGGCCTCGGACATGTCTGTGAGTTGTATAATGCGCCTCTGAGAATCCCATTGTCTTCTTCGTGTTTCGTCGAAGAAGCGCAGCAATTCGAAGCCTCCAAAGCCTTCCTAAGTTTTATCCCCTTTAGGCAAGCAGCAATCCGACGCGCAAGTTGAGTCGGATACGAATTCCAGCTTCATCATCTCTCTCCTCCGCCCATCATAGCGTCCCCTACCTGGTATATCAAACACCCGATGGCCCCGAAGGACGTGTGCCCCGCTCCCCGCCCCCTGAAGAAGACTAAAGGTGCGTGCCAACGTCCTATACCACGGGTTCCTGCTAACTTTCCCGCCCCCACTTTCAGCGCCCAAGGTCATCCCAGATCGTCGCCAGGGGTCTGACGGCGAGGAAGACAAGCTCGATGTCGAGCTCAGCTGCCGTCCCTCGTCAAGGTCTCGTCCCGCGGCCATCGCCGCTCTTTTACACCCCCCCCCCCCCCCCTCGCCCATACCTGCACCCCGAGTTCCGCCTCGCCGCGCTCATCGCCGGAGCCGGAGGTATCACCCTCTCCTCCCATCGTGGTGCCCCGCCCGCTCCGCCTGTCCATGGCGGATCTGAACCGGCTCTGCGACGCCGCCGAACAACGCGTCTATGACGCAGAAAAACATTACACCTATTTCATGGCACCCGACTGGAAGCCCGCGTGCCTCGCCACCGTCTCGCCGGGCTGCGTGCACGGCGCTCGCTGATTTCCTCTCGACGAGGAAGAGAGCCACTGGGCTCCTCGAGTCTGCCGCTAACCAGCCCATCGGTGCCCGACTGGTAAGTGTTCTTGAAATGATAGTGGTCCTATGCTAACTGTCCGACTCCTTCCGCTTTTTCCAGGAGTGTGTCGAGTGCAAGGACTGGGACTTCCCGTGTCTCGACCTGTTGCCCAAGGGCAACAAACGTGCCTGCTTCGCTTGCAAACACCGCAAGAAAAGCTGCGTGGAGCAGCGCCCCCCTCCCCAGAGCGTCCGACCCGACACGGTGCTGCTCGTGCAGCTCCATAATCGTAAGTGCTCTTATTTCCTCTAAATGTCGAGTCATGCTGATGCGTCCGATTCTTTAGGTGTTTTTCCGGTCAACGGAACCGAGGAGCCCGCCCTCAAGAAGCCACGGAAGATTCGCCTGCTTCCGCCCAAGGTTCCGCTGTGCACGCCCGTCGCCTCGGGTTCTAAGCACCCCGCCGCTTTGTTCGATGATGACACCGATGTCATCCTCGTACCCGACAGCGACGACGAGGCACCCGCCCGCCCATCTTCCTTGGCGTCCGCGCCCGCGCCTGCACGCATCCCGTCGCCATCGGCCTTCCACCCTCCCGAGCAGGTGTTCGGGCCCATCGTCCGGTTGCAGGACGATCCACCCTTCGCGTCGGAGGCAGAAGCGCTGGAGTGGGTCTCCAGGATGAGGTTCCTCCTCTCCTGGGCCTCGATCAATTTCGAGGATCGGATCCACTGTCGGGCAGGAGGCGAGGTGTATCGGCGGTGGTTGGAGACGATCGACCCCGCCAACCTCCAGAACCTGCGGTTCCACGTCGAGGACCGTGCCGCTAGCGGCCTCCCTCTCTTCCCGCCGCCACTCCCTTCCGTCGAGGACGTCGCCTGGATCGAAGACCAGGCCGCCGCACTGCACCCGCAGCTTCCGATCGACTTTCGTGGGCCATGGCACGGGCTGGCAAACGGTGCGCGGGAACGGGGGGAATACCAGCAGTTCAGGGAAGGTGGAGCTGGGTGGAACATCGCGGAGATGTTCCGCATTTTCCCAGAGGTCGAGAGATGCCCACGCGAGGTATGCAACCAACCTTGTCCCTCTTTCTTTGTTTCCCTCATTGCTGACCATAATTTGTAGCCTCTCTTCCTGCCGCATTCACGCACGGAAACCCCCGCCCCCTTTCACGCATCCGCCCCCGCCACACCCGTGCCATCCGCGTGCGACCCGACACCGGCGCTTTGAGGCGGTCTCCCGGCCTTCTTTGGACCGAGCTGCGAACCGTCGCACGCTCCGACTGTGGACGAGACGACCTCCCTTGTCGCCGGGATGCGTGTCTCGCAGATCCGCGAGCGCGTGCTGGCGGAATCGTTTGGGGAGCCTGCGCTGCTCCGCACGCCTGCGCCGCCGGACTCTGTGGTGGTGAAGATCGAGGCGGAAGACACGAATATGCGGGAAGTCGCGGACGAAGGCGAGGTGGAAGAGATTGAGGAGAACGAGTACCGGGAGAGCGAGATGGCCGCTGCTTCCGCATACCGAGGCGATGAGAGTGGCACAGACATTGTAATGGAGTACTCGTAGCTGGGCTGGCGCCCTTATTTTTCATTTCTTTCCTCCTCCTGTACTATTAGATGTATCCATCCGTAGATCCCTAATTGTATAGTTTTTCTTGAAGTGAATCGTGGCGCAATTTAAGCTCAAAATACTGGTGGATCGGGTTGCGGAAATAGACCTTTCTTTAGTCAAGGAAAACTTCCGTAAAATTCCGCAACGATATATACTGTAAGGTGATAGATGATAAGCCTGTCAATTTACCAGGGGATCCCCTCAGTCGGAGTGAAATATACTGATCCTGGATGCTGGTTTCCGTTCCGTCAGTGATCCTTTTAAGTGCCAGCTATCCTTGTGGAACGATGGTGTAGGGGTAACATTTCTGGTGCGACTTGAGTTCACATAATAAATTTGCTAGCGCCAGGAGTCGCTCGTTCGAGCCGTGCTCGTCCCACTAGTATCCATGCCAAAGTTTTTCGTTATAATTTCCGCTCCGCGGGCTTTTTCGCAGGCGCTGCTTGCCCTTCCCAATCCCGTAGTCCATCGTCTCCCCAAGTCGGCATGTCTTTGGCCCTTTCCACGGTCTGGATCTGTCTTTCTATGATTTTGGTGACTGGGATAATTACTGCGGACCGCGGAAAATAGGGTATGAGTCGGAATGCCGCGTATGGCTGTTTTCCAATCGCCCCGTCGAGTTCCGCAAGTATATATGGGCCTCCAAGCTTCCTTCGCACGACTATCATGGGTCCGAAGTACCGCGGCTTGTTTTTCTTGGTCAAATTGTTCTCCACAGAAGCATTCCACACAATGACCAGTCTTCTGGGTTCAAAATCAAAGTCCACGATATTATTGGTGTTATCCTTTTCCCACTGGCGGATGGATTTTATCCGATCTTCATATACTTGGCTCCGCATAAGCTGGAGCTCGTCTTCTCGCTTCATTAAGCGGAGCGCTCTGGCCGCTATCATTTCTGCCGTGGATATTTCTTTATCGAGGATAGGGCTCATATAAGTGGCCTCCGCGATGTCGAATGGAAATAGCGGCTCTACTCCATGGGCCATATAGTATGGGGACCGTCCCATAGCCTTGCTGATTGAAACCCGCTCTGCCCAGAAGACGTAGAATATTTTCTGGGTCCAGAGAGTCATGTTGCTTTCGCAAGCTTTAATTAAAGCCTCGTGGACTGGATGGTGACGACATTCAATAACTCCCTGCGTGCGGGAATTGTATCCCGAGATGCGGATATGATGTATATTAAACTGCTTGGAAAGCCATTCGACGGCTTTGACCCACGGAGCCCCGTTGTCCATCGAGATTTCCACTACCGCGCCCCATCTGCAGAGTATTTCCTCGAAGATAAATGATCCGAGGGAGTATGCATCCTCGTTGACCATCATCCGCCATTCCGGCCATCCGCTGAAGAAGAGAAGGTTGGTCCTCTCGGGGACCGAGGTGGTGTCCAGGTCGTACCGGTAGTGCCGCCGAGCCGTAGAATGCCATCCCCTTCTCAATGATCAAGAGAAAGACTCTAGAAGTAGAATAATCAGTAGGATATGAATAATAAAACACTTAGCTTGATGAGGGCTCAAAATTCAGTGTGTGGGACGTGAGACGAGTGAAAACGATGGGATTGTCGTGGTAGGTGGGAGAGAAGGAACGTGATTATGTAATGATCGGGACGGCTGTTCACATACTCTCGTGACACCGGAGCCCGGAAGCGATGATGTAATAGGTACATAAAATGTCCGTGGTAAACCCATTGGCTAACGCAAATCCTTCAGCATGCCACAAACCAGGATTCTGCGCAAAGACGTATAGGGAGACACGCTGCCCCGCTCAGCGCCGACAGTGGGTGCCCAATCCACACCGAAGTCAATCCCCGGCGCAGTCCGAGTCCGCGGCAGCATCCAGAATCACGATCGCCTCGAGATTGCTAAGGTGACGTGGCGTGTGATAAGTAAGAGGTCCAGAACACGGAGTGCCAAAGATAGTAGCTAAATAAAATGTGAGTATAATATAAAATCTGCCTAACCATTGCAAGAGCTCCGAAAGTCGTCAATTGAGTGTAAGTGCAGTGGAGAGCGAGTGGCTGACGGCGAATGAACGATACAGGTGAAGGCGCGTGAATTGATGTGGAGGGAACGTGGAGGGAAAATGTTCAGCGCGGCGTTACCGCGTTTGGTCGGCACGTGCAACCGGACCGAGACCCGAAGGCGACGAGCTCGGCGAGTCGTACTTCCACACTGCTGATGGAACATCTGGCGTGTGCAACAGTCCGATATCTGTTATGTCTCGGCATGAAGAGGGTATCCGCGTATACTTTGTGAAATAATGGCATAGGCATTGCTACTGTTGGAGGAAGTAGTATCTTGTCCGTGGCGCAGAGTTGGCATTCATGGCATGTATTGAGATACCAGCGGAGATCTTGGTCCATCATTGGCCACCAAAATCTATCCGTGAGCCGCTTCTTGCAAATAAAATATGCCTTATGCCCCAAATCGTTGTGAATCTGCTGGAGTATACGGGTCCGGTTTTCTGGTAAGACTGCCACTTTGTGTTCTCCCTTGGAGTCCTTTTTCCATAGAATCCCGTCTATCGAGTAGAATTGCTGAGCCTTCCATATGAATCGACTGTAGCGTTGGTCCGTCCATCCCGCCGGCCTTTCAGGGTTTTCTAAAAAAACTCCGCAACATGTCAAGGTCTTTGTCCGCTTTCTTGGCTTTTTCGGTGTGAGGGATTACCACTCCGTCGGTGTCTGCTTGATTCAAATGAACTGCTACATGATAACCCATCTGCACGAAGCCATATTTCGAGTAAATAGAAACCTCTGCTGGTATGTACGGGTTATCGGAGGCTCCACGGAGTCGTGGAGTTGACGTATTTGGGCCTTGGTTGGGGTAGGGGCCCGAGGAATGGACTGTCTGATCCCAATTTATGGCTACGATCGCAAATCCGCAAGCCCTATCAATCCAATCTTCTGGGTCTTCATCTTCTTGTGGATCTTCCGCCGTGGAAGGTCTCTGTGATAGTCTGTCAGGTGCATGCGATATCCCTGGAGTGTGTTCTAGCTCAAAGTCAAACAGCATGATTCCCGCGATCCACCTGTTCATGGCAGCATTGGGTTGAATATCGGGGTTGTTGAGCATACCCTTTATATATTTTGCATCGGTTCGTACTAGCAGGTTTGTAGCTCCCACTAGGAATATCCGGTAGGCCTGCAGAGCACGGAATAACCCGTAAAGTACTATTTTCGCCTGGGAGTAACAGGCTTCCTGCTCGTTCCATGTTATGGACCCGAATCTCGACGGATATTCCCTTCCGTCCTCTCCAATTTGCAGTAGGATAAAACCCGCCGCAACATATGATGAGTCGACCGACAGGACTATCCGTCGGCTGCAGGCGTAGTCAATTTTGCGGATAGCTGGTGATTCAATGAGGATTTTCTTGAGTATTTGCATCGAGTAAATTTCCGCCGGTCTGAACACGAAGTCTGTGCCCTTCCGTGTAAGCGCTTGTAAGGGTTCCGCGTGTAATGCAAAGTTCTCCATAAAAATGCGGAGTAGTCCTAACATCCCCAGGAAGGCGCGAACTTCCGTCCAACTTTCACAGATTGGCCAGTCATGTATGGCTTGTACTTTGGAGTCGTCGGGCGTCCGCCCTTTAACGGAGCATACATGTCCGACAATCTTGACTCTGGGCACCCCGATGAACGATTTCTTCGCATTGAATGTCCCTTCCGCGTGCCTTATTATTTGCACGATCCGATTGACATTCAGGAAATGTTCCCAGACGAATCTGCGGATTCCCAGATTTTCTGGTATCATCTCGAAAGTCCCGTCCTCCTGAAGATAATAATTGTCTCCGCCTTTGACTGGCGTGTCGTCAACGAAAGGCTGGGTTATATGCGGAATCTCGTCCTGAAGGATAAAGGCCACATCTCCTTGCTGTATCTGAACCGCATTGGTATACCCTTGCAGAAGTCTGGTAAGCCGGAGTGTTCCTAGCGGGCTCTGAAACATGGTGAAGTCCCTTGAGCCTATATCCAAGACTCGGTGATCAAATCCGACGAATAGGTCGAACATGGCATAGATTACTCGGCCTCCGAAGGACTCCGCGTACATCTCGAGAATCGGAGGGCATCCTGCATCGTGTATGGTGACCGCGTTGAGAGGCTGGAGGTTGTGTACCAGCCTCAAAGCCGTTCCGTCGGCTTTTGGCACACAGAACCAGCTAGATCTATAAGATGAGGAGGATGGTTCGTAGACCCCGGAGGCTATTTTGCTCCGGATTATCTCTACGACTTTTCCCGGATTCCTGGAGGTATGGGTATGTTTCGTTGCTGCCATGGGGTGTGAGCAAGCACTGGAAATTTTACTGGTTCGAAATAGTCTTCGCAAAATCTGTCTCTTTCCGATTCATCCCAAGCAAACGCGGTCTCATGATTTTTAAGAATGTCGATGGCTAGAAGCTCTTCTTGTTCCCAAAGAAATTTATCCAGGTTGATATTCATTGCTCTAAGCCTTTCCGCTGAAAGTCTGATACCTGGTGTGAACGCGGGAGGGTGTGGATTCAGTGGCGGCATTCCTTCCAGCGGATCGGAGGGAAATTTCTGGACTATCCTAAACTCTTTGGGCAAGGTCGCTGGGACAGAATGTACTTTGAGGGCCGCGGGTTTGTATTTCTTGGGCTTTTTCTTGGGTTTCTTGTTCTGGTCGAGTTCCATAGCCATTACGAACGTACGGGCTTCCTCGTTATAGTTGTACATTATAAGAAGACAATGTTGGAGATACTGGGGGGTTATTTCCCAGACTTGCTCTGCGTCGGTAATTTCCACTGTCCTGCGGTAGTCGGTATACGTCCCGTCGGGTGCGGAGTACAGCATGAGGGGTGGAACAAATCTGGAGAACGAAAAGGAAGGAACGGAGCATTGGAAAAATGTAAACGACTCTGCTTTGTCGCCGGTATTAAGGAGAGGTCGATATTTGGCGTGTAGTCCGGGAATCGAGGCTTGATTCATAATGTAGTGGATATCTTCCGCGGGGTCCTCCTTCAAGCGCGAGCCCCTGCTTCGTGAAAACCCGTATTTCCTTGGGTGGCTGGTCGGAAAGGGTTCTTATTCCTTGGAGTCTTCATCCGCGTAGGAACTGTGACTTTCTTCAACGTATTTGGGCATGCAATAGTGATATCCTGCGACCCATCGGAGTTGTCTTTTGTCTGGCAACTAGTGAAACGGAAGAAAGGGTGTCCGATAAGGAGGTCGAAGGGTGCTCCCTCTACGACGTGGACCTGGAGATACAAATCTATCCCTTGAATGGTGAAGCGGAGGTTCCCGATAACACCCGCCATGGAATTAGACTGTGAGTTCGCAGACTGCACGTTTAGAGTTTTGAGGGGGTCAAGTCCAGCTCCGAGTCTTAACCAGACGTCGCGGTTCATGGCTATGATTTCGGATCC